GTATGGTTTTGCCCTGCAGAACCGTCGGACGCTGTACCCTGTTCATAAGTCGATTGACTTTCCGGCACCTCCAATGCTGGTTCTTTTCTGGCCCGGACTTGTCGAACACGCGGCCTTGTGGTACCAGGGCCTCCAGTCAGAAGGCGGCCCATGAAGAACGCATGGCAATTTCAGGATCAGAGCCCCAAGGACCAGCAGCGCGTCGACCAGCCCCCTTGGCGAAACAGCCTATCTAGGGCGAAGCACCGCATTGGACGAAATCCTACATCCCTGCCTCTTGGTTCAACTTCTTTTAGCGGGTCTTGCAGGAGCCAATACCAGCGTTTGCCAGTCCCTAAGAAGCCCGGAGATCTGGAGTTGTTATACGGATACAGGTTGTACTCCTGTTGTGCGGCTAAGCTGCACAATAATTTGTCCTGTTTCTGCATGTACGGAATCATCGCCAGAGCTGGCTTCCTTTCTCTACAATCTACTATCCCGTACTCCCTTCGCGTCCGGCCACTTGTACGAGCATAAAGTCCCACCCTCGTTGGACAAGGAAACAGGCACTTCCCATCATCCACAGGCCAGCATCGGCCCCACTCCCGACATACCGGCGTGTTTTGATTCCAGGGGCAGACCAAAAAAAGCCACAAGTTATGATCCTTACCTTGACACGTTGAGATTTTCACGTCCTGGCACGCCCTAGACTCACTTGCGGTCGGACCTGGTCGATCAAGGCGGTCTTGGGCAGCGAAGGTACACCTGCTGCGCATGGATGTTGTTTTGGAGGGGTTCAAATGCCATCATCGTTTCATCGTATCAAACATCATACCATGACATGCTGTGCATTGAGCCCTATTGGACTCGTGCGTCAACCGTTTGATAGCCACGAGCACTTCGACAAGGATCCTCGTATGCATTGATACAGTTCAACAACATATACTGTCTGAGTATGGACACTTGAGATGTTTTTGCATCGCATGCGTGGAGTTTTCGTACGTCAACTATCACGAGCACTATTGATATATCGTGGCCAAGAAGTAAAATTATTGTTGTGGCCATCAATATCATTATGACTACGGGGTACACCACTGTTTGGTATCTTTGTTGACACTACGCATATGGGGGTTCAATCATGCCAGGGCTCTGCATTTTGATTGTTGACTCTACACCCCTTGCTAGTGGCACTTGTTGAGACTTGACATGTCGACTAGCCTTTTTCTTCGGTGCAGGATGATGTACGGAGTATTGAGTACTGAGAAGATTCGTACGGGACTTTGTAGACTGCCAATGCGTTTTTTGCTTCAAGACGATAAACAATGAGGATTGTTTTGTACTAAACTCACATGGCAGTGAATCGCAAAGTCAGATCTTGAGCCTGTGATACTTCTACGCACGAAGTGAGAGGGGAACAGCACATCGCATATTGATCGTCGCTTGTGATTGCCGTTGTCGAATATCTGATATTTCTCGTACCTGAAGGCCTAGCATTGACCACACACTCGGAAATTTCGAAGGATCGGTGAGGAGGATCTTAACGGCTGTGACCCTTATTGTAGGATTCAACCCTCTGCGAATCACGAAGACTCTCTCCAAGTGGTTATTCTATGTTGGCGCCGTTCCGATCTCCAAAGTGCAGCTCTTTATCAATTTCCAGTTGATAATAGTGGAAAGATTGCTCGTTTGTTGGGCCAAGAGAACTTGAGAGGCTGAGACGCCATATTGACTGGGCGAGCTATTGCGATAGATCGGACACCTCGTGCCTACCTGGTAAGTGCCTGACACTCGACCCTTATAGCGCTAAGCAATATGGGATAATGAGGTGCAGGGAAGACGTGCTCGGTAGTTGTAGGCTGCGCATCTGAAAACCCCAGGAATTCTTCCGACAGTGCAGGATACATGAACAAACTTAGAGTGTCCGTACCGGGTGCCGAGTAGCTTCAACTGCTTTACCCCAGACAAGGTTGTACTTGTGTACTCCGTATAGATTGATACGGATATGAGCTCTTCAAGTACCGTGCGGAATGAAGTCGGGGAAAAAGCTCTTCTAGCCGATCGCGTCATTGCTCTAGCGCTCCACAATTCCACCGTCTGCGGCTTCTTCGCCCTCTCTAGAACTTGACTGCTTTTTCCCACTGTGACTGTTCTCAATCGTTGCTCACTTGTCCACGCCTTTGTGATACACTTCTGGCTCTATCAGAGTCCCTCAATCCGACCTGATAGTCCTCATATGTCCCTGAACATCTTGATATCTACGCTCCAGGTCTTCGAGCTCATCCCTCCACCACCTTTTCCCCGCCACCACCATGTCTGAGTCAGGTTCCTCCTCTACACCGCCATTGAAGAATCCCAAACTCAGCACCTTGAACAAGGCTTTCGCTCAAGTTGACCTGGACGGCCATGATCTGCCACCATCGCCAGCCCCTTCCAGTCCAAGGGGAAGCCGGAATTATGCCATCGCAACCCAGCTGGTCTACTCCGAAGGTAATGACCAGTATAATGCCAGTAGCGTCCCAATCTACCAGGTCAGTATACAAGCTCTCTTCTCATATTGCCTCAACTGATTTCATGATGCAGTCTGCAACATTCAAGCAGACATCTGCGACGGGCGGCGCCTCCGACTACGATTACACCCGCAGTGGTAATCCGACCCGCACCCACCTCGAGAAACACCTCGCCAAAATCATGCGCGCGAAGCGAGCTCTTGTCGTCTCTTCTGGGATGGGGGCCCTCGATGTGATAACCCGCCAGCTGCGACCAGGTGATGAAGTCGTGACGGGAGATGACTTGTATGGAGGCACACACAGACTGCTAAAATATTTGTCCACCCATGGCGGTATCATCGTGCATCACGTCGACACCACGACACCTGAAAAAGTACAGGAAGTCTTGAGCTCCAAGACTGCCATGGTCCTTCTCGAAACACCCACGAACCCACTGATCAAGATCGTGGACATACCCACAATATCAAACATGGCACATGCCGCCAACCCGGCCTGCGTTGTCAGCGTGGACAACACCATGTTATCGCCATATCTTCAAAATCCCCTAGAGTTGGGTGCGGACATTGTTTACGAGTCTGGGACCAAATATCTGTCTGGCCATCACGATCTCATGGCTGGTGTCATTGCCGTCAGCGATGAAGCACTGGGAGAAAAGCTATATTTCACGATCAATGCATCGGGTTGTGGCCTGGCGCCGTTCGATTGTTGGCTGTTGATGAGAGGAATCAAGACGCTGAAAGTTCGCATGGATGCACAGCAGGGCAACGCCATGTTGATCGCCCGGTTCCTCGAGTCGGCTGGCTTTAAGGTCCGCTACCCTGGACTTCAGAGCCATCCTCAGTATGGTCTGTTCAACTCCATGGCCCGCGGCCCTGGAGCTGTTCTTTCCTTCGAGACCGGTGACATCCAATTGTCTGAGAGGATCGTTGAGTCGGCCAAGCTGTGGGCCATTAGTGTGAGCTTTGGCTGTGTTAACTCTCTGATCAGTATGCCTTGCCGCATGAGTCACGCGAGTATCGATGCGAAGACTCGTGCGGATCGGGGTGTCCCTGAAGACCTCATCCGGCTGTGTGTTGGTATTGAGGATGGGGAGGATCTCCTTGAAGATCTACGGAGTGCCTTGGTTCAGTCGGGCGCAATGAACGTAACCTTGGATGGAATCTACGCAAAGAACGCCACTGTCGGCGCCCGACACCCTGAAGAAGGCGAACAGCTTGCTGCAGACGCGGCAGCCGAAAACGAACCCTGATGGAAGACCTGCGTCCATCGAAAGGCCCGGAAGCTCCTGATCTCAATAAATCTCGTTGCTTTGGAGGAGGCCGATGGACCATGGAAGTGGGAATACCTCCTGGCCCAGCAATGTACAGAAAAGAAAGAAAAGAAAAGGAAAAGGAAATCATCCTTGACTGAGGAGCCAGGAAAAGTTTCGCACATGGTGTTGGCGGGTTTCAGTTTGAGAAATGTTTAGCTCTGGGAAAATGTGAATACGTATTTGTTTGCCAACTGACTCTTTTCTCTATATCGTTTACCATTCTCTTGGTCAATCCATTCAGGTGCCAAAGTCCGTTGTTCGGATCAAGGACGTTTCGGTATCGAGGATGCCCTGGCAACGAACATGACTGGATACGTCGCGATAGAAATGTTGCCTCCGTAGTAGACGGACCGGATCTCGGACCAACAAGCCTCACGGAAGCCGAAATCGTCTCTCAGTTGAATGGCCGGCTCGCCGTCGTGGCATCGAATTGGAAGAGATTTTAAAGAATCGATGTCAACAGTGGTAGTCTCCGAAATCCCCCTTGTCTGAGCAGTTCCCGTGGGAGCAGGAGATCCTTGTTCGTACCTCCTCGCCATGCGTCAATCGAGGTGAACAACGTACTATCTTCATCAGCCATAGGGTTGATCAAACTGAAGTAGTATTCTTTTTTAGGAAATTCTTTCTATCGAAATGGCGCGCAGCCAAAGATGAGGAGACAAGAAACTCAACGCTCTTCGTTGGGATTGAAAGACCTGGACGAAGCCACATGATCTTATTGCGTCGTGCCACTTTGTCAGTGGCTTTGAGGCCAATGGCATCCTCAGGTAGGTAGCCTTTCTAGAGTCGTTCAGTGTTCCCTCAAATACTATGTGTCTCAGCGAGAGGGGTTCTATACCACAAGCCTTGTTAATAATCATGATGGGGAGAAACATAGAGCCCAGTGTCCATCATAAAAGCAGTACAATCCTGGAATTTGAATGCCCAAGGTTGTGACTGCTGTAAGGCAAGCTTTTTCATCTCGTGCCGAAACGATGTCGGAATTTGCTCAGATAAAGCGACGAAAAGTCGGGGGTCGTTACAGCTAATACTCCGTATGTATTTTTTCACGTATGCTTAGCAACATCATTACTAGAATAAACTTGCACAGTTACGCCAAATAGTGTAGATTAAAACATACCTATATAGTCCATATTGACCAAAATTAGGTCATAATTTTGCACACAAAATTGCCATCGTCTTAAAGCGGGCCTTTTATTCGAGGGGGATTGGCGCAATGGTAGCGCGTGGCTCTCCTATCAATTGACATAGTTGCTAAGCCAAGGTTGTGGGTTCGAGTCCCATGTTCCTCGAAACATTCTCATGCGCGGAGCCAAAATTTGTACGCATACAGATTTAGTGTTTCCTCACGCATTTTTTTGGTTTTCGTGTCAACAAGCAGAAGCAGTCGAGAGAAGGTTTACCACGAGTACCCGTCATCCCAAAGAGCCTCGGTAGATTCCGACACCGACTACTATTAATGTCCTTGTTGTTTTCGGTTTTTTTTTGGATGGTTTCTTCTTCTGTATTGCTTTTGTATATGCGACACTAAGAAGACTCCTCGAGGTCGAATATTGGACTGTGACGGGCACCTCCGTCGAAGGTATCATTGGGAAAAACTTCCTGGTGAAAGTGTATACTATCTCACCTGTATGACTGAGCGGTCTAGGGGCTCGTCCACACCTCCAACTTTGTGCACATCATGTCGCACTATACCTGCCTATTCACTGGGGTGCCTAGGATATGCAGGGAGTAGTCTTTTGCTGCGTAATCATGCCGGTCGGCCTTTGCATGCCGGAAACGATCGAGATCTGAGAGTACAAACACTGGAATACTACGGAGTACGAGTACAAGGTCTCCACAGCATCAACATCCCCGACACGAGTACTCCGTAGGGGCTTGCTTGGTTGCTTGGTTTTGCTGAGCTGGACTTCTGTAATGCAAGGTGCTCAAAAGCAGAATCTCGATTGTCCAAGGCGCTGCGGACACGTCACTGGAGGATCGAGAAAGAGAAGGACTGTTATTTAGGCGTCGGATGAAATAACTTACTGGACTTGGGAGACTCTCTCCTGTGAGTACCATGGCAACGTCGACTCTCTGATCTGTACCATTCATGTCAACACGTCGATGATCATTGTCCAACAGGGGTCTACTACGTCTGGCGCGCTCAACCAGCCTGCTAGCGACTACTTGTTACAGCCACTCCAAGCCGGAGGATTCGTTGGTACAATAATGCCTGGCGAGTCCCCCCTTGCTCCTTTGATCCTCGCAAGCTCCCTTTCGAATCGATCGGACGCCCTTCTTTCCACTGTTCCCATACGATCTTTTGACATCAAGGGGGCCAAACCCTCGCTTGTGTGCCCTAAAGGTACAGTACAAGGCGACGGCGAGGCAGGTTCGAATCAGCCTGGAGGCTCGGTTAAGAAGAATGCGAAGTACTCCCCCCGTACGGAGCAACCCTCTTTTTCCCCCCTCCGACACACACTATTGGATCGTCCGTGGACTCCGTTGCTACGTTTCTGGTAAGCTGAACGTAGCAGCCGTCTCTTTTGATTTATTAATTTTTACGTAGTATGCCAGGGGGACGTCTAATCTAATCAAATTTATCTCCACACACCTTGAATTCCTCTCGAAACAAAGGTGATTGAGAAGGGCGGGAAGGAGGGTGCCTCCCCTGCCTCCGCTATTCTATAGCACCTGGATAATAAACATGGCCACCTTTGCCAGCCCCTCCCCATGGTGGGCTCGAATTCAATTGTGGAATGAATGTACTCCGTAGGGCAGCCCCGAGCACCCCGTTCTAGACCTGGTCTGTGTTTGTTTACTCCGTATAGGGATTCATCATCGGTCCTCAAGGCCATGCAATAGAGAAACCTTCTCCCGGATCCTTTGAAAACATGGGCGCGCAGCAAATAAAACCACAGCCAACCTTCTTGTCTCCGTACCCGTACCTGGCCATGGCACTTCCCGCCCTGCTAAAAACGTGGCCTTTCCCGGCGAACCCGTCGCTCTGACGGGTTTAGGTGTATTGCAGGAGGACCCAGAGTTCGTACAATAGCTATCTTTGCCTCGTCCCTAGCTATCTTAGCCTGGATCATTGCATCCGTGCCATGGGCAAAACCCCTCCCCTTGTGTTCGTAAGCTTCCAGGGGCCGTTCGTCGGGGAAAGTCCCTCTGCAGTCGATCATTCCACCATTTCTCCTCCTACGAGTATACCCTCGAACCGAGGGCGGAGGTCTCGACGATAGGAAGTCCTTGGTCCGTCCTAGAGTTCTGTACGACACCACCCAGCGCGAATAGCGTCAAGCTGCATCCGAAGGCCTCACATGTGTATAGAGTAAGTCCGTGGTTACCCGTGATAGGCGCCGGGCGGTCAGTCTTCCATCGACGATGTTTTTTTTGTCAAAAAAAGAAGAAGCGAGATCACGAGTTCTTTCAGAAAGAAAAGAAAATTGTTGTAATGGGAGTGTGGGCACGCCCTTTCCGAGGTCTTCCATGTACTCTACCAAGGGTATCAAAGCGCGGAAGCCCTTCCCACTCAACGATATAGAGATAGAGAGAGAGAGAGAGTTTGTGTGTGTGTGCGTTCCTACGGACGAGATTATCCGAGCCACATTGTTGTTTTCAATTGTTCTCATGACCGCCAGTAGCATATTAGGCCGTTGGGTTCACTCCGGCCGATGGAAAACAACACCATGGTAAACTCACCTGCAAAAACTCCTTCACCACCCCCCCCTTTCGTCTTCTAATGACTCGCACCATTCTCGCGCCTTGAATCGTGCAAAGGATGTTGGAGAAAGGTTGAGTTTTGTCGTTGGCCCAGGCGGAAAGGTTACTAGAACCTCCTGAAGATCCAACGCATCATCTCAGAATGATTTATTTGCACGGCTTTACTTCGGCATCATCAAAAAGCCCTCCAGGCTCCGATTCAAAGGAAAATTTGTTTCTTCAGATCAAAATGTTGGTCGACTTTTCTAGACGTCAATAGATTGTGACAAAGGCAACTCAACGAAGTCATCGTCGGTGGGATAGTCCGGTGTTTCCGATCTGTACCACCACCGAACATTACAAGATAACAAGGTGGACTCGTGGACCGCGTAACTACCATAACAAACTCGGTATATTCCAAGCCAAATGCCGTACTCGCATCACAGCCACTCTGGCCAATTCTGCCCGGGCCACGCTCGAGATCGACTCGAGGAGGTCGTCGAGGCCGCGTTATCCAAGCGGATGCAGGTCCTGGCCCTGACGGAGCACATGCCGCGGCACGACGACGATCGCTACCCGGAAGAAGTCGAGGCGGGCATGACTTTTGCTTCGTACCACCTCGAGAACGAACGGGCCTACTTTGAGGAAGCCGAGCGGTTACGAGAAAAGTACCAAGGTCGCATCGATCTTCTCGTCGGGTTCGAAGGGGAATGGATCCGACCGCAGGAGTCAGCAGACCTCGTCCGGAGGAGCCTGGACGTCTACCGCCCGGACTTCTTCATCGGCTCGGTCCATCACGTGCACACGATCCCCATCGACTACGACGGAGAAATGTACGGGCGGGCGAGACAGGTCGCGGGGGGGACGGACGAACGACTCTTCGAGGACTATTTCGACTCCCAGGCGGACATGCTGCGATCCCTCAGACCGCCCGTCGTGGGCCACTTTGACCTGATCCGTCTAAAGAGTGACGACCCAGACGGGAGTTTTGTGGCCATGAAGGGTGTGTGGGAACGAATCTTGAACAATCTAGACTACATTGCCTCGTACGGAGGAGTGCTCGAAATCAACACTGCCAGTCTGCGGAAGGGACTGGATGAACCGTACCCTAAAGCGGAGATTTGCCAGGTAAGACACACAAGGCGCGCCGGCCGATGGGCACCCCCCCCCGAACCATTTGTTTTTGGCACTGCTTTCAAGGAGCCAGAGGCTAAAACTAACACGTTGATCAAACAACAAACAGGCTGCCCTGGAGCGAAAGATCCGATTCTGTCTCTCGGACGATAGTCACGGGTGTGACCAGGTTGCTACCAACTATTCTCGCGTATTACCGTTCCTCGACAAGGCGGGCATCTCCCAGTTGACCTACCTGAAGCGAGGAGGAGGAAGCTCTGTCTCTTCTTCCTCTTCTCCTCCTTCTTCCAATACAGGGATGGTGTTGGAGGACAAGAGATTTCCAAATTTGTGCTTTCAAACCGTAGAAGTCAAAGATATTCGCCATCATCCCCTTTGGACATGTTTATAGAGAGCTTCCTTCTTCTTCATAGCCAGTCAATATATTTGCCATGCAAAGAGAACATACTCCGTACCTGGAGTAGGTCTTTTGGGTAAAATTACCCCTAGGTAATGATGCAAAGACTTCCCAGCTCCAAACCGCCTGTACTTACTCTACCGTACTGTACAGTAAGCTGCACCAGGTTGTATTAGGGCTTCGTAACTTTTTCAGCCGACTATTGGATCATGGCCTGAGCCTCAGGTGATGTTTCCCCCCTTCCTTTTCAGCAGCGGCGCATAGTTAGGCTTGAAAAACAAGGATCCGTGTCTGTATTGGGAGACGATGCCGATGCATCTTGCGAGTTACAGCCGGGCTGGCCCGATATGATATTATTTATTTCTCATGCCCAACCCTGGCCTCACCGGGTAGCTTCGCGTGCATGTGACAAGGGGCCAAAAAACCCTGCTCGGGCATTGTTTTTCGCGCGCCAGGCCATCAGAGAACCCCGACACTTGTCGAACTTGATTCGCTTGACTTGCAACCGAGTTATGGCACCCGGAAGTCCCGCCCACCGCAGGGGGGTGGCAACATTATCTGCAATCCACCGGTTCGTGCCATCGAAGCCGCAGGACAGGGGGGGTTTGGGAGTTGGATGGGAAGAGGGTGTGATTGTCCTCCACGCGCCTTCTACGAGTACTACGAGCGTCGAGACCAAGTGTCGCCAATTTGGATCCCATGTTTTTGGCACTTTCTGAGAGGTCCAGAGCCGAACTCTCTTATTAATAAAGGCAAGGGGTGTCATGATTTGTTGATGACTAGGAGCGTAGGAGACCCCTGCGATGGAATGCCCACCGTGACCCATAGAGCCGTAGCCAGAGAGACAAGGGTGTAGCAAGCATTATTCCCCCTCGGAATGCTATTATCTCATCCTGCAGCCGACCAAGTCGTACAGCACGTCACTGAGAAATCCAGGAATGCATGAAACATTTTATGCCCTTGGTGGGGGAAGGGGGGGGGAAGAGAGAGAGAGAGAGAGAGAGATTGTCAGTTTGCCAGGGGTCCCCAAGGTGGATATTTACCGCCTTGAAGATCGATCCTGGCTTCGACAAT